CCTACTAGGACATCTCTATTGGAATCTCCTGAACTTCCCTGACTTTTACTTGACCAACCATTACAATCCATTGACCCTCCCTATACGAACAAGTTATCCGGAGTTGGGAGTGTGTACAGGGGGAATAGTTACATATGGATGGCTCTCTCTCTAAGTGACACTGTCAAATATGAAATAAGAGTCAGGGGCCTGGGAGAACTTTTTTTCATGAACCAAAAAAAATCTTTGTTTACTATATCACTCATACATAGAATTTTGAATTAAAGTTGTTTTAAAAAAAAATTGAGAACACAGTTTTTTTTAACTAAAACAGGTCTCTTTAGGTTAAGGGCCAATTTTCGAGATTTTAATGATATGTTCTCAAGCTCAACATACCTCCAAGGATACAGCGGTGTGTTGGACGATACTTGCTTATGATGGCTCTAACATAGACCTGTGGGAAAAGGACATGGAACTAGCCATAACCTTCCGATACACATGCGACTTAACTCCTTTCCTACATTTCGACCAGAAATTCCCTAAGTACCCTCTCAATCCCAAGCAAACTTACGCTGATATCCTGAACACTTCGAAAGAAGAACGCAATGGCTTTGACTTTTATTTTGCAAGCGCGCACTGAGGGTGCACAACTTGGCCCAAGCTTCAAACGGAAATTTACTGACCACTTCTTCCCTTTGATCTTCTCCGAACCACTACAACGGCTATGAGAGCCATACTATATGTACGTACATTGTAACTTGTCTCTTTTGAAATAAATAATATTATCCCTAAGGGTGCATATCAAAAGGCGAAGATTCTTCCGCCATACGACGTGGATCTACGGAATCGCTTCGCCAATGAGCTTGTCGTGTGTTGTGAGAACGCTATTAACACCGCGACTACACAAGGTACTATTTTAAGTGCTACAGTTTAACAGAATATCTTTGTTAATGATATTGGACAGGCCTATAAGGATCAAATGTGTAACATATATCTTGTATAAATTAAGGATCGTTCTCTGCCAAGCAGCGATGATTTCTGCCTATAGCTTAAGATATTGCTGCGGCACCTTCAACCTTCCGCATCCATAGCCACCGCTACTGCACGCTCTACAATACCCACAACACCTACGATCGCTGATTTAGTCCGGATGATTATAGACCTTAAAAATCAACGTAACCAGCATCACGCATATTATCTAATTGTCCCAAAGGATGTGATAGATGCGGTCAAAAGAGCCCCACTGCTAGATCATGTACTCAACTCTTCACCGCTATTACCTGTACAGTTTGCTCTCACAAAGGATATGTTAAACCCTAAAACAAATAAAAACAGTTGTCCTTACATTAAGCCTTCCATACCCGTCATTACCTCACGAATTGCAGCTCGCGTTACTCTTTGCGCTGCCACTATCACTCCAACGAATAATGACAGATACTCACTACTAATCGATGGCGTATCTTCCGTTAATTACATGAACATTCAAGCGAGACACCTATTAACGTCCATAGAAACAGGTAAATTTCCGTTACAGCTCGCTGATAACAGAGTCCATCACATCAAGGAACGTTATATCCTTCCACATTTGAGTATGACCTATTGAACTTTGACACCAGACAAGCGCTTGTTGGTAAAAAATGAATAGGATTTGGGCTTCGCTCTTACATTATGCTAAACAGAAACGGATTTGTATTCTATTAAAGGATATTCTGTCATAACACTATGCCGTATACATGGTGATTACTATGCCCCATACGATAAACTTAAGACAACACTGAAACCTCACATAAAACTCATCACAGCACCAGAAACACTCGAACCTCCACCAACGCTTACCATCGTGCCGCTGATCATAGACAGCGTTCTACTACACTCAAACTTGCGCGTAAAAACAATATTGCCTTAACCTGTACATCTGATATCTCTCTTTGTGGATACGGAAGCTTGAAAATTCGACCCTGACCTACTTTGTTGTGTGCCGTGAATTTATGAATGTTTAGTCGACAATTGATATTTGTGCTGGCCACACCCAGGAACACACAATTGCTCCAATTTGCCAGCCCAGAAGGCGTTGGCCTATATATGAATTGGTCTCATGTCGATCTCACAAAGAAATTAGTGTACGTCTGTTCTAACTAGAGTTTTTTGCTCACAGACTGTTATGGCAGTTCCCCTACGAACATGCGCACCGTGGTGGAATGCCTTCATGGCCCACATCCAAGACCAACCATTTATCGTGCAGAATACTGCAACTGCGCTTCGCCGCCATGGTACGACCACGGTTGGGAAACCATCTTGGGATACTACCATCACGGCGGTTCTCGGTCCCTTGTCGACACACTTCTCCCCTGGCCCTAATTTTCGCTCCGCTATCGAGTTTGTTCGCCAACACCCAAGATTTTCCAAACACTGTGTAGTCTGTGGCAAAGCCAAACTACACGCTACCCCCGTCTCTCACTAGCCTACGAAAACCGTCTACGGCCCAGGGAACGTTTTTATATAGTAATAAAAGGAGAGAATGAGTACACCGTGAACATATTCGACGCTAGCACGAGGTTTGGTATTCATGCTACACTCTACTTTAAGCAGGATATGCACACACACATCATTACCAACCGCGATATTTAAAATCCCCTGTATTACCTGAAGAAAACTACTGGTCGCTGTCCCTCTGACGATATGGAAGCCGAATACACTTGTCGCTGACAACGCACTTGAATTCCACAGTTTCTCGGTTAAGATCCTACTAATCGACAAAGGTATGTAACTACTGAACACCCCCCCCCCCCACCCCCCCCCTACAGGCACCCCACACACCTCAGCGGAATGCCAGAGTCGAAAGGCCCCATGACACACTGAATGTCTATAGTCGGCCACTACTTCTTGATTTAGGCATATGATGTCTTACTCGGGTGTACAACAAACTCTACTCCGGACTGTTACAGGATCCAGACAATTGACCCACAGGCCCAGATTAACATCAAGAGACTTCGTTTGATCACGGATTAAAAAACGTCTAATAGCCCGCTGTTGGGAAAGTTGCATCTCTTTCATCTGCCCCTATCTCGTATCACATTCCCGTCAACTGGATGTCGCCTGACTCAGAGTCCCCTTCATATTGATCCCCACCCCCCTCCTGCGGGCCTATTCAACTCCCTGCATCAGGATACTATCACTCATGGTTCGGTCCCCGCTGTTTTCTCGCCATCCTTTCCCTTACAACAGCAGGAAATACCTCCCGAGCCACTTTCTGCTCTCCCTACTCCACACCTACCATCTACTTTTCATATGATTCATACACCTTCCTGTTGTGAGAGACTACAGGTCTCAGGCCAGATTTTACAGCAAGAAACCATCTTTGATTTATGAAAGTCATCAGAGTTAGCTCACTCCCGAGAGCTAAGTCACCAGAGTTAGCTCACTCCCGAGAGCTAATCAAGTTGCTCAAATTACTCTCAAGAGTTGAGCTATTACTTAACCGACTTCTGAGAGCAGAATAAGTTTCTCAACCAATTCCCGAAAGTGGATTAAGCCTGTCAACCGCGACATTCTTCTAATAGCTGCGGTTCTTTGTGAGTCACAACCTATGCGGAAAGGCATCATGAGATCAGCGTGAGATTTAATTGCAGAGAAGTTGAAATAGAAAAGCATCGAAGTGTTAAAGTGTTCCGCATAAGGTTTCTCATACTGACCATATGAGGTTTTACCCTGGCCAGCCCAAGCGGCTGAACACTAGCACAAACACCTTAGGTATAAAACCAAAGGTGAGGTCAGAAATAGATACATACATTTGCATTATTTAAAGTCTACTACATTGCACTCTAGCATGTTGTTCCACCGAAACCACTACATGCCAACATCCCTTTCACTTCACTACTCTCTACGCCCACCCCATATTAAACAAGAACCTCTACCTGCACCCCCTTCAGTTCACACCATCTCAGCTCATTCCACAGTCACCTCTACTGCCATCGCCCATCCAATGGGCCCCCGCCACACATTTTCTTCCTGCACTATCTAATGCATCTGCCCTCACTACCCCAGGTCCTATTGTTTCCACACTCACTCAAACAACACAACACTCTCCCACCCCGTCTGTGATTACCCCCACCTCTAATACATCTTCTATCAACTTTGGTACAGTGCCCTCTACAGCCCATACTCTTCCTGATGGTCTAAAACTCTCCTCCCCTTACGTGGACACCTGCCTCGACTATTCTATCCGCCAACCTCAGTCTTCTCCATTTATTTCACCTATTCTACCCACTCTACTACATATATATAGATGACCCGAGTGTCCCTAAATCGATTGCTTCCGCTCGACGGTCCCCTCCGTGGTCCAGCTGGTCGACTGCCATTGATGCAGAGCGCAACAACAACAATCGCAATGAGTTGGCGGATATCATACCGCTTGATCAGGTTCCCCCTACTACGTATGACGATCATACAAAGTAAGTATGTATTTGCTCTAAAACATGGTGAGCATGGCCAACTAATGCGCTTTTGAAGTGCGCATGGTCGTCCGTGGTGACGAACCAGTTGAGGGCGACATTTTACCCACACTCATGCTCTTGCCGCCCACTCAATGTTCCTTCGGTTCTTCCTGGCTACTGCTGTGTTACAACGTACGCAAGTGCTCCATTTCAAAGTTACTTCCGCTTTTCTCTACAGCAAGCTTGATGCACCAGTATGCATGCGAGCTTCGCCATTTTCCGCCCAATTCCGTCATATGTCTCAAGCGCGGCCTGTACGATGAGCTGTCCATTATTTGACTGACTTTTAATTGACAACAGAAGTATCGAATGCTTGACATTGTCATAGTGGGTTCTAATAGTTGACCGACTGCATAGCTGTGGTGATAGGTCAGGCAAATGTATGTACTCCAAGATACCTCCAGAAAGCTTGATACAGCTATTGTTCAGTTCTATCAACTTCTTTTGATTACTCCAAGATACTACGGCAAATAATAAAGCACATTTTGTGTTAACAAGGCTTTTGAATGTCCCTAGACTGTAGATATCGGCCTATCAAAGCGATGTTAACGACTTAAGAGTAATTAAACGCTTAAAATTGTCTTTGATTAAAGTTTCAATGAATTCGAAGTAAAATATGCAGTAGTAGTCTTTTAGTAAAGTTAGGTATAAAAAAGAAAAAAGAAAATAATAAAAAGAGAAAGAAAAATATACTCTTGATGTTCCTAGTTATTGTAACAACTAATAACTAGCCACCAAGATTTACCAACTAGTCTTTATCAGATTGGCAATCTGGTTGGCTGAACAGAGGATAAACTAGACAACGTTAATAGTCCTTAGAAACCTACGTTCGGTTGAGCCATCTCGCTACCGAACTATTCAGATATGAATAGATTTGGAAGTTTAAAAAAATTCTATTAATAGAACTAGTCCAAGTCATATCTTTTGCATTGTAATCGGGCATTTAATGGACTTGACCAAATATCTGTTATGTAAAAATGGAAAAGGTATGTAATGAATTGAAACCGTTAAAACCCATTTTAATAAAACAAAGCGTACTTTTAAGAGTATGTTTATATACAAGGTTTTAACGTGAAGGCCCCGGCTGTTACGAGACCAAAAAACAACAACACTTGGAGTCTACCAGTGCACATCCCCAACTTACAACTTTATCCGTAGTATTTTCATCTCAACCTGCAAGTGCGGACGAGAACGATCAATTTCAACTTATAGCCGAGACATTACTGGACATGTCTGCTAATGGGAACATTATCGACTCAATCTCTGTACAAGGTGACAATCACATAATGCAGCGGTCTAACGTTAGCACATATGTTAGTCCACACACCTCCATCGACCAAAGTTGTCATACAAGTGCAAAAGATCTTGTATGTGCTTCTTCATGCGGCATAAACGGGATATATAAGCAACGCTACTGGTCCCACAGAAGTATCCCCGGGGACAAACTTATAGAAAATGTGAGTTTTAAGCCTGTGTTTGATTGGTAGACGTCCTGCTTAACTTCTTGCACACAATGACCAAATACACAAATGTAAATTTGCTCCAATGTACTGTATGAACAGTCGCAAAGAAAAAAAACATATATAGGTATAACAGATTCAGAATGTTTACTTGTAAGTATCCTGATATTAATCCCTAAAACCTTAAAAGCCATGACCTTTAGGAAACGATGGAATTTGCGACCGTTTTCCTTGTTGATGGCAAAAGAAGCCCCCAACATATACCGCCGTTGCATAGTGATTATGAAAATCGACTACACTTGCATTACGATTGACGAAGACTATAGAACAAGAATACGGCACTGGGTATATAA